CAGGTTAAAATGGATCATCATCAAAGTTATATAATAATAAATTAAAGAAGAGGGATCATCAAAGTTATATAATAATAAATTAAAGAAGAGGGAATACTATATATCACCTGCTTCTGTACTCTACTGATTGATGAGAAAATTGAACAATGGGTAGAATATAATTCCGTGGCACGGTGATCGAGGTTGGTGTATGTCTCACCATCTCCTTAATTTTTTAATTGAAACTTTTCGTTTTTCGATAGTCAAATAATTTATGTTTGATCGGAAATTTGTGTATGAAATTTTTAAATTTTTTGAAATGAAATTTATATATTTATAAACTACGTAAAAAATACTATAAGTTATAATAATTGGCAATTCAAAATATTTAAAAATATATGAAAAATTTATGGACAAAGATAGATTTATTTGAATCTCAAAATTTAAAAAGTGACACCTAAAATGGAACGGAAGGAGTATTTGAATTATGTCCTACTGGAGAGTTATGGGCTCATTTTGATCATTTCCAACTTTTCTTTGCTCATAGGATAGCGATAAGGTTATCTCTTTCTTTGTCTGTCTTGTACACTTTCCAGTTTTTTAGTTATGTCGATTAGGTTAAAATATCATCATCATTGGTGGGGCCAAAACGCATAAGGGTGAAAGGGGTAAAAAAAAAAAGGTACATTAAATTCTCGTTATGTGTGAAATATGAGGACAAATCAAATCATAAGTATCTATTAAATGCAATCTTATTTTGTATTTTTGCAAGAGGTTATTTTCATGATTTGAAATGTGACATCTGATTACGTGATAACAACTTTATTAGTTATCATAACGGCACAAGGGGACAATTCTTTAATGTGTTGATAGGTATAAGGATGCAGGGGGTTCAATTCTTTAATTTTGTTGATAGTTAAAAATAGAGGCGGATTTAGGATTTTTCCAGAAAAATGTATTAAGTGGGAATTTATCCGAACATGGAAACACCAAGAAAAATATATTAAGTGAGAGTTGATTCTTAATTCTCAAGGCTAAAAACTCAACATTTAACCATGTGAACTAGACTTCTTATAGTACGAGTGCCAGAATATAATAATATACAAATTTTAGAAAATATATACATAAAATATCTAGTTTTATGAAGAGACCACGGGTTCTGATGCTCTATTTTTTACCTATGCTCTATTTAATTTTGTTGATAGTTAAAAATAGAGGCCAATGTAGGATTTTTCCAGAGAAATGTATTAAGTGGGAATTGATCCAAACATGGATGCACCAAGAAAAATGTATTAAGTGAGAATTGATTCTTAATTCTCAAGGTTAAAAGCTCAACATTTAATCATGTGAACTAGATTTCTTATAGTACGAGTGCCAGATTATAATAATATACAAATTTTAGAAAATATATACATAAAATAGCTAGTTTTATGAAGAGACCACGGATTCTGATGCCCTATTTTTTACCTTTAGATTCACCACTGGTTAAAAACAATTAGGGTTCAATTCTTTAGTTGGGTTGATAATAGAGCAAAAATAATTAGATTTTTCACATGTATATAAGTTTCTAGTTCTCTTATTTGAATTTTTAATAACGCCATTCGTTTGATTATTACTAATTAGTAACACTAATTTAAAATTGGGGTTATTGACATACTAATTTAATTTTGGTAGTTGTGTTGAATTATGCACATGCACCTAACTCCTAAGTTAGCAAGATTCAAGAAATATTTTTTCGTGCAAAAACTCTTATTTTACTTCAATTGTCGCTGGCAGGTCAAGATACATAAGGGTAAAATAAAATAGTTTAGAGTACTAAACTCTCGTTATATGTGAAATTTGAGGAAAAGTCTATTATATGCGATTTTATCTTACATTTCTGCAAAAAGTTATTTTCACGATTCAAACTCTTAATTTCTAATCACAATGATAACTTTATAAATTACAACGATGCATGGTTTCAATTTTTTAATCATGTTGATAGGTATAAGGGTGTAGAGGGTCAATTAAATTTTGTTGATAGGTTCAACTATGAAGGTTTGTGTACCTATCAAGGCAAATATTAAAAAGATTTACATGTATATAAGTTTTGAAATTGTCTTATTTAAGTTTCTAATAACGCAATTCGTTGGGTTATTAATAACACTAACTTAAAATTAGTTATCAGATTGAATTATTTACCTGTCACTTTAGCAAACATTTAGCCTATATTAGGTGCTACAACTATAGTTTAAGAAAATTGTAATTCGCAGCTATAGTTTTCCCAATTCTTGCTATTCGCCTAATTTTTTTTATAATTTCGCTTGATTTGTATAAATGTTGAAATTATATAATTCGATTTCTGATTGTATATAAAAAGAATCGAACTACCTACTCATTATTCGGAGGTGAATCATAGAACACCAAAGGCAATATTTATCGAATTTGAAAAGAGTCAAAAGAAATGGTTTGAGCCTCAGAATTTTTTATTTATATGCTTATCCTAGCTAAATTGTATACAATTTATGAAAAATTATAATAATCAAAACTATAATGTGATAGAACCTTTCTATTATTATGTTAGTGGTTTCTAAAATTTACTCAATACTCTTTCTTACACTAGAAAGTGGTAAGAGTAGTTCAACATAATATGCAGGAAAACAGTAATTTAACCACATTTAGAGGGGGCTAAACTTACTTTTAGAAACAACCCAGAAAATTTTGGTATTAGTATTGTGGGATTCTCAATTAAGAATATCCCTCCAAAAATTGGCATATGCCACTAATTGCAGCGCGCACACGGTATTCTTTAGTAAAAGGCGAAAGAATAGTTCGCTATGTGCTCACTGCGTGGCTGCGTGATTTTTCCTTATTCAGCACGAGCCTCTTATATACTGCTTCTAGCTGTTCGTTTACTCACTTACATTACGATGTGGTACTTTTATCAACCACACTTGCATTTATGAAATTCCAGTATATGGGCTTTGTGCCTTTGTTGGACCCAATACTTTCAAGTTTGGGAGGGCCTCTTTCTGTATAAGTCCACCTTTTGATTGTAATGTAGACGCTTCTATAATGCTTAGAAAAACAGGTTAAATGTGTTTGGTATGAAAAATAAGTTGTTCCCAGCAAATGTCATCTTGAAAAACAAGTAAAATTGATTACTTTAGTGGTCGGTAATTAAGCAAGAAAATATTATCCAAAAGAGCATTTATATGTTATTTAGCAAAATACGATAGAGGTTGAATGGGTTGGTGTTTGGGGGGTGGGGGATGATTAAGGGGTGGGAGTTGGGGGATTGAATGGGCGGGGAGGAGACGATAAATTTGGAATAACACTTGTGTAACTAGTTTTTTCTGCTTTCATTAGAGAAGTCACTTTTCTCATTTTTAAAGAACTTATTTTTCTAGAGAACATATTTTCAAATATTTTGACCAACCAAACATAAGAAAATTGGATATCATTTTTGAAAAATATTTTCCTCCATACTAAACATAAGAAGATTGTAAATTATCTCTTGATTTTTCAAACTTAACAAGTAAAAGTGGACATCTACATTTAGGACAATGGACTAAGGCCTCATTTGTTTTCACTAAGATGAAAATGTCGGAATATTAATATACTTATTTGAATAATTAAGATAATGTATATAGATTTGAATACTGAATAATTAAGACTATTTATTTTTCAACATGTCGCTCCGAGCCTACACCTTAGACATGACCGAGACTCAATGTCATTGCTGCTCTGAGCGTACCCATAACGTGGCATTAGACATGAGCATACATCAAAACATAAGTGCAGTTTAAAAGCATTCAAAAAGACAAGACTTGTAAAAGAAAACACATGTATAACACATAAGTCGTAGAATTGAAATTGTTAAAAAAGGACATGGAGGTTCAATTTGAAACATAACTATGTATCTCTCTATGAAGTCTCTAAACATAACTGAGAAGTATTTATTAGGACAAGGCCCCTAGTATACCTTAAATACATAAATATAAAGTACTAGAAATATGTAGACTGTCTTAGGAAATAGAGAGGGGTCCCCAATAGCAAATAATATGGGACCTAGTGAGCGATCTGATCACGTGTTTGTGTATCTGAGTTTGCATCAATAAAAAGATGCAACACTCTCTATAAAAGGGACGTAAGTACGTATTAAATAGTATTGTATGTAAAATGGTGGAATGAAACATATCGGTACATACCAGATCAATAAAAGCATATATCATAGTCATAACATATGGAGATTAAGAGATAAGGTCGTTAACACTGCCTTAATGGTACATCTTTTTATCATATTTGTTTATCATAATGAGAGTCTAACAGTATAATCGACATAAAATACTATGTGAGTGCATGAAGTTTGATCTCGACCCAATCAACTAAGATATCTCATACCTTGTTGGGTGTGAGACATATGTGTACATATCATGTGGATCCATAAGTATAACTATCCCTTACCAGGGACATACCCCCCCCCCCCCCCCCCCCCCCGCCAAATCAATGGTATAATCCTTAACATAGCGTTGGCAAATGTAGTTTTATACGTTCATCATTTAGATTCATGCCCTCTCGATTAACTATTTAACTCTCTTTAGCTCATGTGTTCACGGATTACCCAAAAAACTCATATTCATGACTTTCAAGAAACATAGTTCATATCATCATATCATATCATAAAATTATATTTATGTATCACAATTTTACATTTCATAAAAGACATTTATCATATCATAATATTATAATTAAAGAACATAAGATAGCATCATAAGATTTACATTTAGGTAATTTGATAAATCATAATTCTAGGATTCATAGCATAAGAATTTTCAGAAAGTTATTAAGAAATTATAAAACTTAGTTTTCAAAATAGAAACAGTTACTTTCATATTTATTCATAACTTCCACATAAAATACCTCTTAATTATGTTAAAACATTGTTCAGGCCCATAAGTATTACTTAAGATCTATTCAAATAAAATACTTAATTATTTAAATTTTATAATATAGATATTAAATAAACAAACAGCAAACTGCAAGGTAAAATTGAACTGTAAAGAGCCGCAGATTTTAACAACAATATGGATGAGCTGCAGACGATTCTAACAGAAGCATTTGGCGATTCATCAAACAGCGAAGGCGAAGAAGAAGAACAATTTCTCCATGTTCATTCTGCTGAGAATAAGGTTAATGGAAAAGCCCTAACCGGGTCAGTGTTTGGAGAAACTCATAACTGGGAAAGAATCAGTGAAATTGATGGCCTTTGGCTGTGCAAAGACTTTTTATCTCCTGATCAACAATCAAAGTTGTTATCATCAATCCAACAAGGTAATAGCCCTCCCTGTGTTGCTCATATTCATTCTGTTTTTAAGCGGCGGATTTTGTGGTTCATTTTTTCGGCTCAAACTATGAATCTATATGAAATTAAGTAAAATGTATGTATAATTAGATAGCAGTCGTTCTGAATCCATTGTTATAGTTCATGAGTTATCTCTGGTTCTCCACCCATTGGCATACAAAGACCTAGAATTTTTAATAATTCATTTACTACTCTTCTAGACTAGTGTGCGGGCCTTACATATACACAGGGCGGAGCAACAAGGCGGTTACGGGTTCTGAGAAACCAAGTAGCTTTAGCCTAGACCCTGTATTTGTGTTTGTATGGGGAAAAATTGGACTTAATAAATGAGCGAAATCACGTCGCTACAGGTGGTAAGATCAAATACGAAGGAACATCTATGGGTGATTGGTGAGGCTCTCCCCGGTATGTCGGAGGAAGCCTCGAACATTAACCTGGTTGGGACCGACTGGACACCCAAAAGATGCCTCACAATCAGCTTCAAGCGAGAAGTTAGAACATACGCATGTGCTATGAAATAGTCTTTTCAGTATCCAAGAGTGCTATCGTTTCACATTGAGGTGACGATTCAGTTTTTTGGCCTATAAAGTAGGTTTTGCGGGGATAGAAGGCATAGTTTCTTACAAAACCCCAAGAAGCTTTAGTTATTTGATAATTCTCCCCCATTTTAGCATCTCCATGAAAGAGGACTTAGAACCTCTCCCACTTGCACATTCCATTTCCCATTTTGGAAGTTATTTACTTGTAAAAAATCACGACTTTGACGTTTTAGTAATAAGGGAAATGAACTTGATTGGCCTTGACTCACTTGCCTTTGACCCTTTTTTACAAATTCAATTATTAGATTGAATGCCGGTTCAACTTCCATGTTGGAGATCTCAAGTTCGAAACCCCTTGCCAGCGAAAGCAAAGGGGTTTGCCTTCTGGGTCAAGCTCGCACCGGGCTTGCATAGTGCGAGTTATCTCTCATGTGTGGTTTGCGAGCTATCGCATAGGATCAATTGTTTTACCTTGTGCGCACTCAAAGGATAGCGGTGTGGATTTCCCCTGTCATCAGAAAAAAAAAAAAAAAAAGATTGAATGCCGGTTTTCCGGAAAACAGTGTTCAAAAGTCCACTTAATATGTATAAATAATTTATTCAGAACCCAACAAACTCGTCTTTTCTAGAATCGAGAACCCACACACTCAAAATTCTAGCCCTGCCTCTAAATTTACTTATACGCAAACACATATACACACACATTTTAAAGATTCTTTGAACTATATATAATATATCCATGCATGTTAAAGAATTTTTCAACTATATGTATATAAAGTTTCAGCATAATAATGTAGTGAATTGCCTTTTGTTTCAATTATAGCTCAATTCTTTTGAGAGAAAACAGTTTAAGCAGTCATCAGGGAGCTCCTTATCACGGGTTTCCCTGTAAATTTACTGTTGTGCATGTCTTATCAGTGAGATTTCAATGGTTCTTATGGCGAAGGATTAAGACAAATGTATTTGATCAGGCAGAGCTCTCATATTTGCTTCTTGATTGTTGTGGCTGCAGAAGGATGGTTTGCTGAATCTTCAAGCAATCAGGTTTTGTTTGATCCTCAAACCTTCAGAGTATTCTTGTATAATTCACTTATTCCCTTTAACTTGTTATTTCTTATTCCCTTATATATCAACTTGAAAATTGTACATTCATTAAGTGGGATCAATAATCTTTTGTGTGTCATTTGGCTGAAGGATATATTGCCTAACTATCACTATATGTTAAATCTTTAGTTTTCATACTTATGCCCTTGAGCTGTGTAGAAAATGTATATATGTTTCATTTGAAATAAGATGATTGTTGTAGCATGTAGGAGTAATTTTTATGTCAAAATGTGAACTTTTCTATTTACTGGCACTAAATCTTGAAGAATACTATGACTACCACTTGAGGCAAAAGATGTACTTGTGACACTTCTCTCTGAATATCGTGAATGGAATAATCTTGATGTTTTTCATATCTCTCTGAATATCGTGAATGGAATAATCTTGATGTTTTTCATTTATTTGAATGCCGTTTATAATTGTACATTAATATTCATTCTGGGGAGACTTGTCAAAACAAGGACTTGAATTCTAAGGGGTTGTTCACTTGTTTGGTATGAGGGATAAGGGATGACATGCGTTTGATTAGGGGTATTAGTTAGTCTCAGAATTATTTATCCCACCATTTATACTGCTATGATGAGATAAGTTATCACATTATATGGTGGGATAACTAATTTCATGAGATAACTTTGTCTATCCCATCCCCTACCAAATAATCCCTAAGAGATTTTTGATAAATAAATATATATTAGCCAAAAGTGCTGGATGCTGAAGAATTTATTTTTTAAAAAAAGAGATTCTGGAAGTACAAATCATCACCATGGTGATTCGTAGGCTATTTCGACGGTGTGCATCAAACCAAATATCCTTCTTTCATAATTCAAAAACTTTAGACTCTCCATTCTCCTTGTAGTAGTTCTTCAAAGTAATCTCATTATCTTTTAATCAAAGACAATATTCTTACCCTATAGTTGTTAAATAGCCTTGGAATGAGCATACTGCAAAGCATATCTGTCATGTACTTGAACAATGGAAAGGTTCATCCTGCAGTTCTCTAAGAAAGACAGCAGGGCCGTAGGTTCTGTTTAACATTTTCTTTTCCTTTGTTTAAGTGACTAGTTTAGCATTTTTGTAAACCAACTACAAATTTTTGAATTTCTCATAAATCATAATTAGATCATCCTGTTTGACTCTTTTAACTTGTAGTTTGTTGATCAATGCACTTGATCACATGTATTTTCTTCTCTTGCAGGCTATGAGATTTGGTGACCTACCAGGATGGGCGGTTGAGCTCTCCAGGTCTATCCATGAGGTGATTCTTTTCGGTAGTTATGCTGCAGAGTTGGAAAACTGTGAAAAGGGCAAGGAAGCATGTATCTTTCCACAAGATCTGTTATGGAGAGAACCTCTATTTGATCAACTTATAGCTAACATGTATCAACCAGGTGAGGTGCGACTTTATCCTTTCACAGAACTGTTTTTTCAGCGTTAAAAACTGTTTTTAGTGGTGATGAATTATTGCATTGCTTTATAACAGGGCATCTGTCCACATGTTGATCTAATGAGGTTTGAGGATGGAATAGCTATCGTTTCTCTAGAGTCATCCTGCGTGATGCATTTTTCTCGAGTCGGAAATGAAACATGCAGCCAAGATCCACCACACAAAACGCCTGTGCTTTTGACACCGGGATGTCTTATTTTGATGTGGGGAGAAGCACGCTACCTTTGGAAACACGAAATAAATCGAAAACCTGGGTCCCAAATATGGGAAGGCCAAGAGATTGATCAGAAGAAGAGGATATCAGTGACACTGAGGAAACTCGGTCGCACTGACTAGCAATTTTGCTGCTGCAACACATTTGCTCATCAGTAATTTCTTGCTAAAGTATCCTTTTCTAGGGCTTAAGCAAGAGCCGAGGCTTATATTATTCGTGTTGCTTGAAGGATTGAAGCACACGCGTCAACACATTTTTACAGATTTTACTCAACATATCCACTATAAGTTGTTGCTTCATTTGCTTTGTTGTATAACCATATAATAGAAGAGGTAAAAGCGATTTCATTAGAACATGAAATATAGAACACTAATACATGTAAATTTACAGTACATAAGCCTCACAAGCCAAAACAAAACAAAACAAGTGCATATGTCAACTATATATTTATTTCTTCCTAGTGGTACACAAGCTTAAGATTTGCTAGACTCAAAAGCACAGCCCATCCAAAACAAGGTTTAATCAAATCCCCAGCAATAGGATTCACATTTTTAAAAGCCCTAAAACAAGCAATCAACACTCCAAACAAAGCCATACATAACACCAACCCAATTCTAGTAGCACCTGCTTTAAACACAACTGGATTCCAAGCCAAACTCAACCCTAATTGGCTTAAATACAAAAGCATAGCCATAGGTTGACGATGAAACCCACCTTCAGCCCAAACAAGCCAAGCAGAAAGACCCATAAGAAGAGAAGAACCCAAACAGGCTAAATGTAAAGCCCATAAACGTGGGAACCAGAAAGGCTTCTCCATTGAAACGTACTGGTAACTTGATCCGAAAAGAGAAATGTCTATAAGGGTTAATAAAAGTGGAATCGTTAAAGCGATTGTTAATGATTTGAGTCCTCGTTTGGCTATCTGTTTTCTTGTTGATTTGTTGATGTTTTTGTTCGTTTTTGAATCGTTATCGTGAGCAGATTTTGTGTGTTGCTCTGTTTGTTGAGGTTCGTTTTGTTGTGATTTTGTAGTAATTCTGTGTTTTAGCTCATCTTGTTGAGAAGCCATGATCTCCGATTAGAGCTTGTCTCTTTTTTTTTTCTTCTTTTAGAAAAGTGAAGAGTTTTGAGTGCAAACGGTAGAAGGAAGTAGATTCGAGAAGAAGAAGGGTCAGGAGGAATTTCAGGTGATGGAATGATTTTGAAACAAGACGGATCCGCTATTTATATCCATACTCTTATTTTTCATACTCCTACCTCTCTAATTATTTGTCTATTTTTTTTTAGTTCCTAATTACTTATTCATTTTAACAAATTAAGAAAGAACAAAATATTTTTACCTATTATTTCCTCTATTAATTACTTTCAAAAATGTAAAATTTCTTGAAAATCTTAAGTTTTCAATTCATCCACTTCATAATTAATATGGGTAAAAGGGCAATCTCACTATATCAATTATTTTCTTAATAGGTGTGTCAATTTTAAAGTGGACAAGTAATTAGGGACAGAGAAAGTATATGCAATTTTATATATCCCTTTGTACCTAATTACCATATCTATTAAGAAAACAATAATTGACATAGTGAATTTATCATTTTATCCATATTAATTATGAAGTGGATGAATTAAAAACTTAAGATTTTCAAGAAGTTCTACCTTTTTCAAAGTAATTCATTGAGAGTATAATAGGTGAAAAAAATTGTTCTCTCTTAATTTGTCAAAATAAACAAGTAATTAGAGATAACTAAAAAGAAAATATGAACAAATAATTAGGGGTAGAGGGAGTAGTAGTTTAATTTTTTTTATAATATAAAGTTTGATCACCCACGCAAGTTGTGTGACAGATGGGTTGCTCGTTTCTTAATCAGATGTCTCGAATTTAAATTTTGGATATGAAAAAATACTCCAAATAAATTCTATGTGATACAAATTTAAAATAATCTAACTCTAATATTAATATTGAACACCTGATGAAAAATAAAAAAACATATATATTCTCCTAAATGAACTTTATGCAACACAAATTCAAACTGATTAGATTTCAATATAAATATTCAAACTCTAAACGGTTCTATGGTACACAAATTTATTTTGCTTTAGTGGAAACTATTTCATACTCATGGCTTGAAATACATGACCTACTAATCACATAGGATTATTAGATTTAAAATTTATTTGAATAATAAAAATCCCACTAAATTAATTATGTCTTGTGAGTATTATACTCCTAAATTCGTTGTGCTGGATGAATTAGTATTTTTTTCATTTCTTACTTATCTCAAGTAATTATCACAATTATTTTTTCACAAGTCTAACGAGAATATTTTTACTTTTAAAATAATAACAATTCTAATTTCAATAATTGACAAACATACTCAATAATTCAAATATGAAATGTCAAAAAATATAGGCAAGCTATTCATCAATGTTATTCCCTCCGTTAAAAAAGACGGATCTCCTTACCTTTTTATTTTGTTTAAAAAAGAATGATCTTTTTTTTTTTGGTAACATTTTACTTTCAGTTTTTCACGTAACATGTTTAAGATCACAAAATTAAAGGACAATTTTATACATTTGACATAACTTTAATTTAGGATCATAAAATTTAAAAGTCTTTATTTTTTTTTAAAATTCCGTATTAAATTAAATTAAATCATTCTTTTTTAAATAGAGAATGAAATAGAGAGTAATAATTATGATGTGATAAGAACGCACTTGTTACATGTAAGTTCGATCCCTTGTAGGCGTGAAATATGTGTAAGCAAAGATGAAGACTAGTATAAGAAAATTGACATATGGCAGAAAGAGGTTATGAAGAGTGGAAAGGAGTAGTACACGTGGGGCAGAAGTCACTGCCAACACTGATAGCTGCTGTTATTAAAAAAAAAAAAAAAAACTTGTACCTATCATCAATTATCGTATACGATTAATGGATTGGATATGAGTAGGTTGTAAATGTGTCGAATACAATAAAAAAAATTGAAAAACTAAGACTTAACGTAGTTAGTTTCCTCAATTTATTAGAATATTTTATTTAGATATTCAAATTAATTTATGTTCAATTATATATCTTAACTTCTAATAAAGATTGTTGCGGATTCTTATTTGTCTATTATATAGTTAAATTAATCAAGTAAAATTTATTTTTTCTTTTAGTTATATAGATTAGCTTTAAATAATATGTGTGAAATTTTTACATCTTATTGAGGCAAATGATATAATAAAAGTAAATGATATATATTTTATATAGTTAACTTAACTATCTAATATACAAATAAAAATGCATTCCTAACATTAAAAAAAAAAAGATGTACAAATTTTGACTTGAAAAAAGTATTTCTAAAATTTAATTTGAAAGTATCTAACTAAAATAGTTTATTAGTAGTTGAGATATATTTAATTGAAACAAGTTTTAATTCAATTATCTAAATAAAAAATCGTGATAAGTTTAAGAGATTAGTTATATATCAAGGGAAAAAGTTACTAATATTTAAAGGGAATGCGTTGGACATAAAGGTCCCTAACATGACAGGTGCATAAATGGGCTATTTGCTAAACAACTAGTATAACAGCTTAATGCTATTTCTAGTAGTTCATGGGCCTTTCTAAACAAAAAAGCAAATAGAGGGCGTATTTGTGCTACTTCTAATAGATCAGGGTCCTTTTTGTCTAATTTTTAGAATTAGGTGCATAATTGTGCTATTTGCTAACAGCTATGGCATTATAATTCTATTTCTAATAGTTCAGGGACCTCTTTAAACACAAAACCAAATATAGGACCTCTTTGTTCTACTTCAAATAGATCAGGGTTATTTCGCCATATTTTTAGAACCACGAAACGCTGCGTTTTAAACAGCAAAAGAAATCTCAATTCCCAAATTCCTAAGACGTCGTCTTTTCGCCGAGATCGTCTGTTCTCCTGCTCCGGCAGCCATGGCAGCCAAAGCAGCTGCTATACGCAAGACTTCACATAGATCGGAAAACTTCATTCAAAAACTCGTTAAAAATCCTAAAATACCTTTTGCTATTGCATTACTCATCGCTGATTCGATCCTCGTCGCGTTGATTATCGCTTACGTTCCATGTAAGTTTCAGTTTTTCCACACTTCATTTCCAGTTTTTGTTTTCTTATAATCATAAAATTCATTAATTGTGAAATTCCTTAATTTCTCTTTTTTTAGATACGAAAATTGATTGGGATGCTTATATGTCTCAGGTGAGAGTTCAACATTTTGATCTGTATGTTTGTCTTATTCAGTAATGTAACAAAGATTTGAGTTGAATTCAGTTTGATCAGTAATTTGGCGTAAATGACAAGTTAAGGCAAAATATTTACCAGTATTTGACATTATAGTGTGGTTGATTGATATCCAGCTTATATAGTTTTGATTGATTGGTTATTTTTGGTCTAATAGGTTACTGGTTTTCTCGAAGGAGAGAGGGATTACAGTAACTTGAAAGGTGACACGGGGCCTCTAGTTTACCCAGCAGGCTTTCTTTATATTTACTCTGCTATACAATATGTTACTGGAGGTCAAGTCTATCCAGCTCAGGTAATTTTCCTACTTTTTCCATTTCCGGGAGGTACATTTTTTTGCGGTGATCGCCAGTGAACTTGCATAAGGAGTTGCTAGATTGATTGTGATTGTCTACTTTCAAATTTGATTAGATTTGAAAGAGCACGTAAATGCAGTTAATTGGTTGTCCCCTTCCAAATTTGATAGATTTTGCTACTGAATTTTAAGTGAGACTATACACTAGAAACAACAATAAGACATACATGTTTTCTGTTTTATGTGTTGACAAATAATAAAATGGAAGCATAGCATCTGTATTGATGATAGGTGTTTTCCTATGCTGGGCTTGATTTCTAAGCAGTTACGTTAACAATCTTAACTCTTGCTTTCCTTCGACCCTGTTTCATAATTTTTGGAACTCCAGCTAGATCTTCATGCCCGTGATGCATTTTTCTTTGAAGATGCCTACTACTCTGGGAAGTATACCATCTTCTGGAGTGTTTCTTTCCCAATAATGACAATCTGAAGCAAATATTTTCTTTTCCTCTAACTTTATACTAACTAGAAAAAATTGCAATGGTAAGACTTTCTATGCTTGTGCGGGTGGTGTAAGCTTAAAGTAGATTCCAGCATGAGAAAAAAATTAGTATCCTTTTGCTGGGTTTTGCATGTTCTGGAGGGTTCACACGATACAGAATAAGGTGTAGGCAATTGTTTAGTTAACTAGTTGTGACTTTTGAATAATGTGGGCATATTCAGCTGGTTCATTGGATAATCCGTACACTCTATTATGTCCTTCGGTATAAGGTCATGTTACTTGCATGCCAGTTGTTGATTTCTATTTCTCATGTCAGTGCAGATTCTCTTTGGCTTCCTCTACATACTGGATCTAGCAATTGTCGTGTTCATCTACTTGAAGACTGATGTGGTAGGCGTCCTATTCATTTGAATTTTATGGATAATGTTGTAGGCTAATATATCATTAAAAAGAGTTGTATTGTGACTGCTGTAAGACTGGATCCAGTGGTGAAATTTGTTAGTGTTGACTACAGCAACATACCCAGTGTATTACCACAAAGTGGGGTTTGGGGGGGAGGGTAGAGTGTTTAGAGCGAAGGTCTGCGTACACTTTCAAAAGATTGAGTTTCTAGGTCCCTCTATATAGTTTTAGACAGGGATATACTTTATCTTCTCACTTTTGCCACGATAGACTGATCTCTAGCATAATCTTAGTGCTCTTATGAATGAAACCTTATCATTTTAAAAAGAAGGAAGATTCTAGACATCAATTTGAGACCTTTTTTTTTTTTTTTTTTTTTGTTGATGACAAGGGAAACCCGCAGCCGTTATCCTTTGGGTGCTCACAGGGTAAATGTAACACCCTAGAGAATTTTTCGAACTAAGACTCGTGCCGTCCTTCATGTGGAGTGAGATTTTACCGAGGAATAAAAAATTCTTGAGTGTTAAGTTAAGGTCCCTAGATGTAGTACATTGAGTTCCAAGAAGAGTTGAATTGGAAATAGTCATTTTTGGAAAGAATTCAAAAATCTGGAAAGTTTGGCTAAGTATGGAAAAAAGGTGAGTTTTTGGTCAATTTTGAGCAGTCGTAACTCCTAGCTCAGAATGATTTAGGAGAATTTCCAGTTATGTCTGGAAAGCCCTTGGAATGATCTTTCCAACGCCGCCGAGTTTGCTCGATTCCGAGTTTGTATGAGTGAATTATGTCCTTTGAAAGTTGGGTTGTTGGCACAGGGCAGTTTAGTCCGAAAATTCTAAGGGTATTTTGGCCTTTTCCCTAGCCAATTCTTTTGGTTATATTGAGGTGTTAGACTGATTTTAAATCAGTTTTCCCTTTTTAAAAGTGAGAGTTAGGGTTTTGGAGAGAAGAGAGAAAGAGAAGAAGAAGCAAGGATTTCGTCAAGATCGTCGTGGTTTTCGTCGGGGGTGATCCCTATTAAGGTATGTGAGTTCTGGGTTGGTTCTTTCCCCCACACGCCAAACTCGTTTTATTTTCGAGAAAAGATTGGTTGTGTTGTTGAAGTTGTGATTGTTGAATTCTTGTGGTTGTGTTGTTGAAGTTTCTTGTTGGTTTAATACATGTTTCCAGTTGTATTTTTGAGTTGAAATCCACTTTATGTAGAGGGGTTTATGATCCCAAGTGTTTGCTGCTGGAACCTTCGAAGTTAAGAGGGTTTAGAGTTGGCAAAATGAAGGAGAAAAGTCGGGCTGCTTGCATGAAACAAGTCTGCGTCGCAGACTTGTTCCCTCTGTGAACAAAATCTGCTCCGCGTTGCGGACAGGACGCGGACTCCACTGTTTTCAGGATTTAATTTCGTAATTCTTCTTAAGTTTAGCTGTCCTAAATTATTCCTAAACATCATGGGGTCCTTCCAAACCCAAATCATTACTCTTGAATCCATAATTCAATTCAAGAAAGTTCGGATCCAAGTCAAGTGAAGTTAGAGTCTAGTTTAAAAGTTAAGAAGCAAGTCTTTAAAGTTTTTTTTTCAAGAGTCTTTATTGAACATTTTAACTTTGTTCAAGGCTCAAGTTTCAATTTAAGTAAAGAGTATAGAGTTTCAATTTAAGTAAAGAGTATTGAGTTTCAAGTTAAGTAAAGAGTATAGAGTTCTAAGTTGAGTCAAGAGCATAAAGTTGAGTCCATTTCTCAAAAGTTATTAGGGAACTAAGTATTCCCAAAGAAGTAAGTTATTCAGTTTATTCCAGTTTTTCTTCTAGCCTATGTTGTTTAGCTTCCCAGCTTACATACTCGTACATTCCACGTACTGAGCCATTTGGCCTGCATCTTCTTATGATGCAAACACATGTATTCAGGATCATCAACAGAAGATTCGTTGATACATCCGGGAGTTCCAGTTAGCTATGACAAGCTTTCTTGCTTCCGGAGGATTTCATTTACCTTTCAGTTGCATCAGTTGTTAGGAAGTCGTGGGGCTTGTCTCGGCTTCCATCTTTATCAGTTAGAGGCTTCATAGATAGACAGTAGAGTTTCAGAAGTCTTTTCATTTATTTTGTTAAATGTTTTGAAGACTAAAGTTGCCTTTTATGGCGAGTTGTATATATATTCTAGTATACAGAGTTTTCTTTTGAGTTAAAGATTTGTAAAGAACTCTTATTCAGTTTTAAGCTCTTGTATGCTTAAGTTAGTCTTCCGCTTGGAGGCAGCCAGGATAAGGGTTCGCTTGGGGACCAACAATGGTCTTCGAGTGCCGGCCACGTCCAGGGTGTAGACTCGGGGCGTGACAAACTGTATCAGAGCCAGGGTAATATGAACGCGTGTCCCCAATTCGGTGCTCAATACTGCTCCCAAAAATACTTTGGCTCATGCTTTTAAAACAACTTCTTTCTTTAGTTTGAGATAATTATTCAAAGCTTAGCCCAAAGGCTCTTTTGGAAATCATAATTCCTTCCTTACTTCAAATGTAAAAACATTTATAAACTTCTTTGGGAATACTTAGTTCCCTAATAACTTTTGAGAAATGGACTCAACTTTATGCTCTTTACTTAACTTGAAATTCTATACTCTTTACTTAACTTGAAATTCAATACTCTTTACTTAAATTGAAACTTGAGCCTTGAACAAAGTTAAAATGTTCAATAAAGACTCTTGCAAAAAAACCTTTAAAGACTTGCTTCTTAACTTTTAAACTAGACTCTAACTTCACTTGACTTGGATCCAAACTTTCTTGAATTGAATTATGGATTCAAGAGTAATGATTTGGGTTTGGAAGGACCCCGTGATGTTTAGGAATAATTTAGGACAACTAAACTTAAGAAGAATTACGAAATTAAATTCTGAAAACAGTGGAGTCCACGTCCTATCAGCGACGCGGAGCAGATTTTGTTCACAGAGGGAACCAATCATGCAAGCTGCTCGACTTTTCTCCTTCATGTTGCCAACTCTAAACCCTCTTAACTTCAAAGGTTCCATCAGCAAACACTTGGGATCATAAACCCCTCTACATAAAGTGGATTTCAACTCAAAATCACAACTGGAAACATGTACTAAACCAGCAAGAAACTTCAACAACACAACCACAAGAATTCAACAATCACAACACAACCAATCTTTTCTCGGAAATAAAACGAGTTTGGCGTGTGGGGGAAAGAACCAACCTAACACTATGAACTCACATACCTTAATAGGGATCACCCCCGAAGAAAACCACGACGACCTTGACGAAATCCTTGCTTCTTCTTCTCTTTCTCTCTTCTCTCCAAAACCCTAACTCTCACTTTTAAAAAGGGAAAACTGATTTAAAATCAGTCTAACACCTCAATATAACCAAAAGAATTGGCTAGGGAAAAGGCCAAAATACCCTTAAAATTTTCGGACTAAACTGCCCTGTGCCAACTTCCAAAGGGCATAATTCACTCATACAAACTCGGAATCGAGCAAACTCGGCGGCGTTGGAAAGATCATTCCAAGGGCTTTCCAGACATAACTGGAAATTCGCCTAAATCATTCTGAGTTAGGAGTTACGACTGCTCAAAATTGACCAAAAACTCACCTTTTTTCCATACTTAGCCAAACTTTCCAGATTTTTGAATTCTTTCCAAAAATGACTATTTCCAATTCAACTCTTCTTGGAACTCAATGTACTACATCTAGGGACCTTAACTTAACACTCAAGAATTTTTTATTCCTCGGTAAAATCTCACTCCACATGAAGGACGGCACGAGTCTTAGTTAGAAAAATTCTCTGGGGTGTTACAGTAAAACCCCCACTCCTATGCAATAGCTCGTAAACCACATAGGAGAGGTAACCCGCAACAGGCAAGCCTGGTGTGATGAGCTCGACCCAGAAGGCTAACCCCTTGCTTTCGTTGGCAAGGGGTTTTGAACTTGAGACCTCCAACATGGAAGTCCCAAGCTCAAACCACTGGGCCACCCCGAAGGGTAGACATCAATTTAGACCTGGTGACAGAATGCACCTTCTTTAAGCTTACACAAATGAGCTTTATTTAAAGGAGGTATCTTGGTAAACGATAAATCAAAATTGAACTTCAACGGGATTTATGGAGGAAAAATATGATGGAGCTGAGAAGTTATTATGTTTCTGGGAGGTGTTTCTAAACAAAGAAATAAAAGAAAACAGTGAATCTTGGGACTGTAGTTAGACCATTTATCGATATCATTCAAATTTTATGCCTAGGAGATCAAGAATTTTGCTCAAATAATTACGTGTGGTTCAGAGGAAGTTCTAATGTGTAATTGAGGACATCTGTAAAAAATTGTCTGAGCATCTCTAAAAAGACGGAGTCTCGACCAAAATTTTGGGAATTTGTATATCTTTCACACTGAATCAAGGTTGGCTTTCAACTGTAGCAAGAGAAGAATGTCTGCAATATGTCTTACTTCTTCTGATAACCATTTCTCTTTCTGATTTAGCTTTACCGTTGAAACTTCTAATTTATGTTCTGTCAGTAAATATTCAGAATTCGACCACTTTGTACTAAGTAGAAAATCTTTTAAATGGACAAACCATTTTTCCTTGGAGTTAAGATATGCTATGAGTAATTGGAAACATAATTTTTCCAGGTACCTTGGTGGGCTCTCTCCTTGCTTTCTCTGTCGAAAAGAGTTCACTCTATCTTTGTTCTTCGATTATTTAATGATTGTTTTGCCACTACTCTCCTCCATGCTGCATTGGTCTCAATTATTTGCCAAAAATGGCATCTAGGGTTGGTAATTTTCAGGTATATTCTTGCTTGCTTAGACATTTTTATTGTTGGATTAATTTTGCTCTATATCATTGATTAAAAACCATCAGTTAAGATTGATCAATGGTCTTCTCTTTAGTACAGCGGAGCTGTTTCCATAAAGATGAATGTGCTCCTGTATGCACCACCTCTGTTGCTCCTGATGGTGAAGGTATACTATTGGGACAGTTTAGGTTATTAATAATCTCCGTAGGAAGTTGAATTACATTTCTGATTACCTTTTGTGATATATGGTGGAAACTTGAAATACAGGCAATGGATATTGTTGGAGTGATATCTGCTTTAGCAGGGGCTGCATTAGTGCAGGTGGGTAATCTCCAAGTTCCCTTTCTAATTTCTAATGCAATGATGTTCAGCGGGCGGCATGATTTTCTTATCTTTACTTTTGTTATTGTCTTCATGACTGCAATTGTGTTCTTTATTAATGTTGTTTTGGAAAATAGTTTAAGCATGTTTCGTTAGTTGGGGAGGGAAGGTTTATGGTTGCTCCAGGATCAAGGCATCACTTTCTTCTGCGTACTCAATAACACATGATGTTTTAACTTTTGGGTGATCTATATGTTCAATCCTTGATGCTCTTGGGCATTCTTTTAACTGTTACAATATTTTTTCTATTCTTTCCTCAGAGATCGACTGATGAATTTGTGGTTTATATGCATAGGTGAGTTGGGTGACAAGTATACTTCTGTTGAATGGAGCTTCTTCTGATCAAATTGTTTACCAATGATCATGATGATTGGTGATTGGTGCAGATTCTTATAGGGCTTCCTTTTATCCTGTTGCATCCAGCTTCATATTTATCGAACGCTTTCAATCTTGGTCGGGTTTTCATCCACTTCTGGTACTTTCTTAAACACAATGTGTGCATAATTGGTACTCTGAGGCACCATGTCAAAAATATCAAGCAACTTTTAAGTCTTTAACATTGCTGTCATCCCTCTTTCTTGATTTATTTATGTTGTGGTAAAATTGTTTTAATGTGCAAAATAAATAAACATTATACCCCTGATATTTATGAAATCCGCATTAATATGGTGATAAGAGATTGTGTATCTATTCACTTGACACAATGTTGTATAAACGTGCATTATCATCACATGAAACAACATTATTGTATTTATCATGCACTTTTTACCTCAAATGTCATCAAACAATACATTTGTATTTGGTGGTGTCTGCTAAATGTAGGAGATGCATGTTCTTACTGCTGGCTGTAGTTTGTTCTCTGTCTCATCCCTTGGGAGTTCGGGTGGGTAGTGGGCTCGTTTTCTTTCAGTGGACGTAGACAGAAAAGTATTTTTTTCCCTATATCCCTTGAATATCCACTCTGACCCTAAGCCTACTCTGATCTTTAAACTAAGTTTTGTCAGATCCTTTTGAATTTTAAGTTGTATTTGGTATGCCTTCTAGAATAATCTGATTCGCTGAAAACTGTATTTCTATCAACTGTGTTAGTGCAACATTATGCTCATGTCATGATGTTGTGCTATCCTTTACAAAGAACAGTTTATCGTAACACACTGATTTGTTGCAGGTCTGTCAACTTCAAATTTGTTCCTGAAGACATCTTTGTTTCTAAAGCTTTTGCTCTCTCTTTGCTAGTTGCTCATCTTAGTCTGCTATTGGTCTTTGCTCATTACAGATGGTGCAGGTGAGTATTTCTCATATTATCATTACATCTAGTGTAGTGGCGTTGATATTCCAGTATTGAAGTAGGAAAAGAAAAGTCATATCATGATAACTATATCATTTTCCTCTCTACATACGAAGGTAATGAGTTAGCGGCCACTGGGCTGCATATTTCCTTTTTCATCTTTTGCAGGCATGAAGGGGGACTGTTTGCTGTTGTGCGTTCAAAAATCATTCAACTGAAGCTCAGAGTTTCTCAGAGAAATCCTTCCTCAACCAAGAAAGTCCTTCAAGCTGACCGTAAGCAACATGCACAATCTATTTTGTGATTTTCTATACTTAAAAAAGGCTGTCAAGCGTTATACTGTCACTAGTTTTGTCTTGATTTGGCATGATCTATGGTTGCTGAATTGGTCTGTGTCTATTTCATTCTCAGATATTGTGACGACTATGTTTGTTGGGAATTTCATTGGCATTATTTGTGCCCGATCCCTCCATTACCAATTTTATTCTTGGTAAGTTTTGCAGCTTATTCTTTCTTTAGGTCATGGATTCTATCTCATACTCCTCATCTCTCAACAAAAATGTCTTGATGTGATTATTAAGGGTTGGCTAAACTAATTCTCAAAGTGAATTAAAAAAAGATCAAATTGTCCACATTAAGTATTTAAATATGCAACTTTCCATATTTTTAGACATTTGAAAAGCTTTAGTAAATGATAATTTTACTTTGATTCTTGGAATAGTTAACATAATATTCAGGTTGAGATAGATGCATGCTTTTATGATCTTATGTTTGTATTGAGCTCAGTTCTGGTGGTAACTGCACATAAAAGTACCACAAATATTTCAAGAGGACATAATTGAAATGTTTAACCAGAACTTTATAAAAATGATAAACTGTCTTATTCCAATTTAATCATTGTGACACACTAAAATAAATAATGCATTCCAGACGGACCTTGTAATAACTTGAGATGCTTCAGCATCTCATTGATGAACAGAGAATTTTGGGATGCATTTTGTTAGTAGTTCACCGGACTGCAGCATGTACTTAAAGGGAGAAGTGTATTTAAATATAAAATGCTCATTGAGTAGTTGACCACCTCTTTGTGTGAACTTTTTTCCCGGTGAGTCAGTGAAGATCACAAAAATCAGCTCCTCTCCCCTGCTAGCATGGCACCAAAGCAAGACATAAAGGCCTCGACTAACACTAGCCAATCAAATGAAAATTTGGAAGATTATTCGCGCTTTCACTGTGTTCCTGGGTTCTGTGTCAAAGTTTCAATTGAATTAAGATAAAACCATTGATGTCCTAGATCTTGTTTGCAGGTACTTCTATTGCTTACCGTATTTATTGTGGAAAACACCATTTCCTACCCTCCTACGGTATTCAATTTGATACTCAAACTTCTTTGTTTGCTTCAGTTGTATGGCATTTTCTGTTGACAAGTTTTTGTGTTGTACTGCAGCTTATTTTTGTTCGCAGCTGTAGAGTTTTGCTGGAATGTCTTCCCCTCCAACACTTACTCATCACTTGTCCTCCTCTGTGTCCATTTGATCATATTGGGTGGTCTATGGATAAGTTCACCAGAATATCCATACGTAGAAAAAACAACTGATAAATCTACATCTAAGAAGAAGGCCAGTTAAATCACTGCTTGTTTTTTCTGGCCCGATAACTCGTGATGTATGTGAATGGAAAAATTACCTCCCCTCATCTCCTACCCACCATTGTGTTAAACTCTGTTGCTCTGACCAAGAGGCGTCATCTGATTATACTGAGAGTAGTTTTTGTTTCTGTTTCTATTTGTAGTGATAATGCTTACTTTTGTTAGATGGTATACAAAACCAGAAAGCTGGTCACAACCACACAGAGATCATCCCCATGGCATCAAGGATTAATATTTTATGGGGTTTTTAACATTTGAGGATTTCATTAGCATAAATCTGAATTAGACTTGAATATTTTAGGAGGTCAACCTTTTTTACTTATCTAAATCTGTATGGTGTACTATTTATTGTCCAACTCAGATTTGGACTACTTATAGCATGGTGTTGTACGCCGTTGATATTGAGGTGTAGTTGATTTAAGGAGATTTAGTCATTTTCGTCGAGGTTAGCTGGTCGTTTGTGCGTGCACCAACTAAGTAGTTAGGCAAGAACGCTGCTTACTTCTCATGGGAACATTCAACGTATAATTACCATATAATTAACGTCCTTTTCATGATTCGTCAGATTTAGAATTTGACCGTGTCTGTAGGGTATTTGAAAATTGAAATCTTACAAGTTAACTAGTGCTGAACTAGAAAACCCCGTGTCAATCTGTCTCAATTAGCAAACAACCATATCTAATTTTTTCTTGAAAATAATTTTACATATTTATAACTACATACAAGTAAATTTTAATTTTAGGTTTAGCAAACACAAAAATCATATTTGTATGTTATAGCTATAGTTTGTATAATTGTGTTTCATAGCAAATTTTATGTTTGCTATGACTATTAATATGTATATTTCGGTATACATATATACAAAAGAATCAATTGTATAATCTGTTTTGGTATACATATACAAAAGAATCAATTGTATAATTTGTGTTTGTATAAAGCGAGAAAGAAAGAAAGACAGACAAAAGAAAATTGGGTAGGGAAGATCTGTATTTGTATAATTATAAGTGTATAGGATGAAAATATATGTATTTGTATATACAATTTTCTCTCGCTTTATACAAACACAAACGCAATTTATACATTTGTGTTTGTATAAAGTGAGAGAAGCAGTGGAGAACGAGATTCTCTGGGGAGAGAGACAAACGAAAAGATATGTATATATACATATTTCTCTCACTTTATATAAACACAAACACATTTTATACATTTGTATTTGTATAAAGTGAGAGAGGCGAGGGAGAGACTGCTCAACGAGAAATCGAGAGTGGCGAGCAAGAAATTCAGGGAGAGGCGAATGACAACTATTTGCTACGGGTTACAATTAAATCAAACTGTGGTTATAGCATTTAATTTGAATTAATAATTTGCTATTTTATACAATTTTTATAGTACCATGGCAATCTTTATAGTTCAAGTTACCGGAAAATCGTTGTCAAAAGAAGATATTGCCATTAATATTTTTCGATAGGGATGTACTGCTAGTTTGATCACAATGGACCGTTCGATGCACTAAGCTCTAGCTAAGTGGGGGATTCATGAAAGGAGCCCCGACATCATTTCATCTTCAAAGGACAATTCGATGCACTAAGCTCTCGCTATGCTGGGTATCATGAAAGGAGCCCCGACATCATTTCAATGAGAGGTTGTTTCCACAACTCGAACCTATGACCCCTCAGTCACATAACAACAAATTTACCAATTGCGTCAGTGCTTCCCTTTAGTTTGCAACGATTTTTGTACGAATATAGTACTAGTTTTGCGACAATATTTGTATGTATATAGTACTAGTATAAAACAGAAACAAGTAGAGAATAATTCATGCATCTCTCTGTGTTTCTAACCCAAAAGATGAAGCAAAGTATCATACCAATTAACAAATAACAAACACCAAATGAACATTGTATTAACCATAAAGCGCTGCCAAAGCACCACTATCACTTTATTGGAATTGCAACTGAAAAGAAAATACTCCTACGTAAGTATATATAAACACTACGAAATTATTCAAAACAGCAAATTAATCAAAACAATTACACTTACTAATAATTAATTAACATCGATTAATTCGATCGTTAATTAATTTAACTCCGGCAACGAGTAATAGCACTGCAGTCACGTGTATACGGATTAGCTTCAGCACCCGTCTTGCAGTTATAGTACGACGCACCTCTTCTAGAACACGGAACACTGTTACTCTGCAGCGCACCATAGCTTATATAATCAGTGGTTGCTAATATACGCCTATTGCTCTCCGAATCCATTTCGAATTCTCCGGCAGCCATACACTCCGCTATCGAACCTTCACAGCTGTCGGCGGATTTCATTGGAACCCAACCGCTCACGTCGAAATCACCGCCGGTAGCATCGCCGGGGATAATCAAAGCTGATCGGTGCGTTATCTTCCTTCTCTCTTACTCAATATATATAGAGAAAAAAAACAACAACTGGATTATTTTATTTTTTTCTGTAAGTTCTAACTACTACTGCTACTGCTACCATATTCTCACTGTTTTTAGCTCAACGACAATAGGGCGGGATTGGGATACTATATGGATTTTAAAGTATTTTTTGCCTTTTTTGTGAAACGGTGTCCATGTTGTCTGTATTTACCAAAGTGCCACTCTCAAAATTAATGCATGTCCAAAATATATTTGACTCTAGTGCTAAAGTAAGGGTGTGCAAAAATCGAACAAATTTTTTTTTATTGGGGTATTGAGTTAATGGATTTTTAATGATTTTATATATAAAAAAATTATTGTGTTATTAATTCGGTTTCGATTTTTAATATTGTGTTATTGGGTAAACCTATTAAGGCGATAGTAATTTCTTACTCTACCCTTCGTAAATATTAAATATGAGTAATTATTAACATAACTAGACACTATATCAGTGTTCACTCTCTCTACAATCTACATAATTAAATATTATCTTTCTACTTTCACTATATCAAAACATTTACAACTGATTTGCTTGTTTCACTATATCAAATAAATAAATAGTGTTATATGTGCCCGATCCCTCCATTACCAATTTTATTCTTGGTAAGTTTTGCAGCTTATTTCTTTCTTTAGGTCATGGATTCTATCTCATACTCCTCATCTCTCAACAAAAATGTCTTGATGTGATTATTAAGGGTTGGCTAAACTAATTCTCAAAGTGAATTAAAAAAAGATCAAATTGTCCACATTAAGTATTTCAATATGCAACTTTCCATATTTTTAGACATTTGAAAAGCTTTAGTAAATGATAATTTTACTTTGATTCTTGGAATAGTTAACATAATATTCAGGTTGAGATAGATGCATGCTTTTATGATCTTATGTTTGTATTGAGCTCAGTTCTGGTGGTAACTGCACATAAAAGTACCACAAATATTTCAAGAGGACATAATTGAAATGTTTAATCAGAACTTTATAAAAATGATAAACTGTCTTATTCCAATTTAATCATTGTGACACACTAAAATAAATAATGCATTCCAGACGGACCTTGTAATAACTTGAGATGCTTCAGCATCTCATTGAAGAACAGAGAATTTTGGGATGAATTTTGTTAGTAGTTCACCGGACTGCAGCATGTACTTAAAGGGAGAAGTGTATTTAAATATAAAATGCTCATTGAGTCAACGTTGTCAACCTCTTTGTGTGAACTTTTTTCCCGGTGAGTCAGTGAAGATCACAAAAATCAGCTCCTCTCCGCTGCTAGCATGGCACCAAAGCAAGACATAAAGGCCTTGACTAACATTTGCCAAGCAAATGGAAATTTGGAAAATTATTTGCTCTTTCACTGTGTTCCTGGGTTCTGTGTCAAAGTTTCAATTGAATTAAGATAAAACCATTGATGTCCTAGATCTTGTTTGCAGGTACTTCTATTGCTTACCATATTTATTGTGGAAAATACCATTTCCAACCCTCCTACGGTATTCAATTTAATACTCAAAACTTCTTTGTTTTCTTTAGTTGTATGGTATTTTCTGTTGACAAGTTTTTGTGTCGTACTGCAGCTTATTCTTGTTTGCAGCTGTAGAGTTTTGCTGGAATGTCTTCCCCTCCAACACTTACTCATCACTTGTCCTCCTCTGTGTCCATTTGATCATATTGGGCGGTCTATGGATAAGTTCACCAGAATATCCATATGTAGAAAAAACAACTGATAAATCTACATCTAAGAAGAAGGCCAGATAAAACACTACTTGTTTTCTATTGCCCGAGAACTCGTTATGCATGCGAATGACAATATTATCTCCCCTCATCTCGTACCACCATTGTGTTAAACTCTGATGATCTGATCAAGAGGCGTCGTCTGATTATACTGAGAGTAGTTTTTGTTTCTGTTTCTATTTGTAGTGATAATGCTTACATTTCTTAGATGGTATACAAAACCAGAAAGCTGGTCACAACCACACACAGAGATCATCCCCATGGCATCAAGGATTAATTTTCAACATTTGAGGATTTCATTAGCACAAATCTGAATTAGACTTGAATATGTTGTACGTCGTTGATATTGAGATTTAGTTGATTTAAGGACATTTAGTCATTTTCGTCGAGGTTAGCTGTTCGTTTGTGCGTGCACCAACTAAGAAGTTAAGCAAGAACGCTGCTTACTGCTCACGGAAACATTCTTCAACGTATAATTAACATAGAGTTACCGTCCTTTTCACGATTCATCAGATTTTGAATTTGACGTGTCTGTAGGGTATTTGAAATCCCACTGAAATAGAAGATTTTTCTTAGCATCCTTATACCACTCGTTAAACGGTTGAAATAAAATTGAATAGGATCGGGTAGAGAACCTCGGGAAGGTCTATTAAAAAGGGACAAACTAGTCAGTCAATTAGGTAAGAGTTATTCAAGTCTTAAAAATTGGGTAGAAGTGACAAATAGTATTTAATTAGGTTAAAAGATGTTTTCTCAGTAGTCCCAAACTTTTAACTTTTACACTTTTATCCAATAACTATCGTAGTTGTGACAACTTCAATAGTTGTCCAAACAACTTGACAACTACGAAATATGTTATTAATTTAGTCCTTTTATTAATATTAAAAATAAAAAAATGTAGAGAAAAAGTAAAGGAGGTCACTTGTCCCTTTTTTTTAATTGGAAACCTATAAGGCATTTTTAGCTCATTTTTCCGTGTCGATCCGTCTCAATTAGCAAACTATCCTATCTAATTTTGACAATTTATTTGATTTTTTCTTGAAGAGAGTTCTACATATTCATAACTACATAAACTATATAGTACTATGACAATCTTATTAGTTCAAATTACCGGAA